TTAAATTTACATTTTATCATTTTTATTGAAACTTATTATTATTCATTTTCATCGGGAAAAAACATTTCAAAGTGTCGTTTCAATTCTATTTATTTATTTGAATGCTTGTGGATACACTATATTTTTTGTTTTTCTGTCTGGTGCGTACACGAATAAATCGGAAGGTTTTTTGACGCGTGAGTTGGCCACATACATTTGTCCATGCGAGAAGCACGGATTCTCCAAATTTAGCCCAAACACTCGCAGTGATTGTCAGAAGTGCGATATTCCCCATTTTTATATATATTTTTTAATCCTTTATAATTTTAATTATTTAATTGCTCCTTCCTCTCTTCCTTGGCATGTTGTGACATTTCTGATAGTTGGATAATAAACCGTTCTATTGTAATTTGTCTTTTTAAATTGTTTTGAGTTGATATTAAAATTCGCGTATTTTACCTAGATCGGTAAAATACGCGAATTTCCTCCTACAACTTTGGTTGTTGTTCGGGGTACAGTTAAGGTTTTTAACAAAGTTCCAGCGAATACATAATTAGCAAAAAAAAGTTGAAATAAAGTGATTAAACAAAAATTATTACAAATATCGTAAATAACGGTTCACAAATGCATATATAGAGATATTTTTTGGAGGGGGAAATGGTCTTCACAATTTGAAAACGATCGAAGACACTGTGCTCGATACACTCGTATACACGCGCACCATCTATCGTAGGATAAATGTACTATGCCAAAAACCTTCGCGGGAGTGTATTAAAAAACTTTCCGAAGTTTTATGGCAATTGTACTATGCCAGAAACCTTCGCGGGAGTACCAGTCAACCCCCCTATAACAATGTTGATAATTCTGTTTTATATGAATTCCATGTTGTACGAGTCACTTAGATTTTACAAATACGTGTGCCGGGCTGTGAATGGCTCATAAATTTGTAAAATCTAAGTGACTCGTACAACATGGAATTCATATAAAACGGAATAATCAACAGTGTTATAGGGGGTCAACTGTATATTAAACAACTTCCCAAAGTTTCACGGCAATCAGATAAACGGTGTGGTAATGCATGAAGGACACACACACACACACACACACACACACACACACACATTCATTTTTATATATATAGATTTTGTGTATGTTGTTTCTTATGATCGTCTGAGGCGTGTGTTTGTAGTATGATTCATGAGTATGTAAAAGTTTGTGTTTGTGGGTAAGCTTTTGATGAATTATATTTACTGTGTGGTTGTTGATGTAAGTAGTCTGTTTGTGTTAAAAGTTTGCAACTTGATATGATATATTGTATAATTTCATGCATGATGTGGCATTATTTTCTAGGAATTATCATATCATCAGACTCCAAAAATACTAGCCAATCAACAACTTTATTTTACCCAGATGTGTTTCAGAAATTACAATATTTTCCTCCTCAGTGGGCTTTCTTTCATACAGGCTAAACAAGGCACAAACACTTTTTTCAGTATTCCAATTGTTTTTTACTAATTTCCATAATAAAATCATTTTTCCTTATCTGTATTCCTTTCCTTAACTATGTATTTCATCCACAGTCATTGCTGTCATAACTTCATTCATGTTTGTGCCTTGTTTAGCCTGTGTGAAAGAAAGTACACTGAGGAGGGAAATATTACAATTAATTGTTTGCAAATGTAATCATACTTAATTAAAACTTTTAAATATTAATATTATTAATTCAGAATTAATTTGATGATTCCAGCTTGAAAAAGCTGTCATTTAGCAGGAATGTTGAATATTAAATTTAATACTTATATTAGTATCTAGTAACAGTAAAATAAGGAATGAGACTTTGTTTTTCAATGCTTGGTTTAGGTAATAAATTTTATATTTTTTTTACATAAAATATGATGTTACACTGAATATTTACACTTTACTCATTAGGAATAAATCATTCAAATCATTGATTTAACCACTCGACAGTGAGGGATGGATATATCTGTCCAGGGCAATCGTGTGGCAGTGGTGAGGGATGGATATATCCGTTAATTAAATTCTTTGGGGGGTATCACCAAAAACTATTGCAAAAAAAAATTCACATAAAAAAATGAATTATGCAACAATAAAAAAAGACTTATCTTTACTAGACATAACTGTTTACAAAATCTTTTTCCGAAACGGTAATGAGAAAAAACGCATGGAAAAATACTTTCAAAATTTTCCACAATTTATTCTCCACTACATTGGGATAGCACCATACCTGACTATCCCACTGTTGAAGGGTTAAAATATTATCATAAAATGTTACGTATTCAATAAACTATAAATATTCCTCAATTTATATTGTAATCTTATTCCATAAAAATACCAAATAAACTAAAATTATATAAACTGATCTTTAGATTATACACTTAACATGTAATAGAGAATTATTGGGTTGTTCAGAAGGTAATTTTGTTTTTTTTCCGTGGGAAAAAACACAATATTTTTATAACTGATCCAAGTGATTTTTGACATTGTCATTTCAAGTAAATGTCTTACACTTAAAAAAAATTTGTATAGACCGGAACAAGTAGTAATCCGAGTGTGCTCAATCTGGCGAATATGGTTGGTGTGATAGCATGTCCCATTTAAGTTATAACAGTTTCTGACAAGTTACCAAACTTGTGTGAAATTTGACATTATCGTGGTAAAACACTACACCTGTTTTGTTGATCAATTCTGGCCACCTTTTCTGTTTGATGATATTACTCAATTTGTTTACTCGATGGCGGTACACTTTCGAATCAATTGTTAAATTGTCTGGTAAAAGCTCCAAAAAAAATTTCCTTAAAATTCCACCAAAGATAGCATCTCTCTTTAAGAACATGTGGAACCCATATATCAAGCTTTGAAACAAAACCAATTTGTTTCAAGTAATCATAAACGGTTCAATTTGACAAATTTAATCTCTTAGTGATTTCACGTGTTGTTATTCGGCAGTTTGCTTCAATCAGTACCTTTATTTTGTTTTCATTGGCTTCAACTAGCCATCCAGAACGTGGTGCATCTTCAATATTGAAATTGCCAGAACGAAATTTTGTAAACCAGTTTTGGCACTGTCATTCTGTCAATACATCTTCTCCATACACGTCACACAATTTTTTTCTTGCTTGAACAGCATTCTTACCTTTTCAGTAATAAAAGAACAAAATATGCCAAAAATGCTGCGTTGGATCTTCCATATTTGATGGCACACAAAAAAATAAACAATTGCACAAAATCAAACAAAATTTTTTACAAATAAGCCTTAAAATGCTAGCTGTCAAAATATATAATGATAATACAGTTTAGAATGAAAATGGCAGGAAAAATACGACTAATCCATCTAGTGGTAAAAAAAAATGAAATTACTTTCCGAACAACCCAATATATTCTAAAGCTTTTCAACAATCTTCATTTTTTACCTGTTGATTTTAAATTATAATATTAGGAAAAAAAATAGATATTTATCATTAAAATTAACACCATTATATAAGATATAAACAATACAACTAATTTAAGGCAACCAATGAAATGTTTATCTTTACTCAGCTATAATCAGCTTTGCTATATATATATATATATAAAGAATGGTATTTTACATAACATTTCAAAATTTTAAATTTTTATCATTTAACATATTCAAAGAAGAATAGAATAAACATAAATTAATAGAATAGTATTTATAGTGTGGAGTTCAAATTGGAACTTTGAACTTTTCATAATAAATTTATTTAAAATATTAAAATATTTAAATTATAATTAAAAGAAATTTTATGAAATTTTAAGTTTTATTCTTATAGTATATAAATACTGTATTTTATTTGTTATAGGATTTTAAGAGTCATTATTGTTTGATTTTTACTGCTAGATTTTAATTATGATAGTGAAGAAATGATTCAAAACTAATTTGGTCTTTTAATTATATTGCATACAAGTTTATTTTCTTTTGAAAAGGTTAAATTAGAAACTTTTTCTCACCATTTTCGGAAGGATTAGTCAAATTGATTAGTTATAATTAACAATAACTTTATTTTAAATTTTATGAACTCTGATGTCTAATATATTTAAACTGGGAAATATTTCAATACTTCTCAAAATAAATTATTGATCAGTTATTTTATATTGTTTATATATATTGTTTGCTATCATTGTTTCAATATTGATATTAAAGCTGCTATTAGCATTGATCAAATTTTTAGTAATATTAGTAGAAACTCCCAAATTTCAATAAATATAAAATTTAATTATGAAAATTTGAAATCAGCAATATAAGATTGGATGATGATTTTTTTTAATTAAAGACATTTCAAATTTTTAGTTAAAAATAAATACTATATAAAATCAGAATTTAATATCAATTTCTAGAACTTAGTAAAGCTCAGCTTAGCTATTTGTAAATACTGGGTTGAGCTGAGGTCTTGACAGGCAAGTACCAAGCTGAGCTATGAATTTGGACCAGAGCCGAGTTGAGCTTGGCTGTGTTGCAGCAAAGCCAACTTTTGAAATTAAATTGTAATAATAATGGATAAACAGTATTTCAGATATGTTTTCATTTATCTCTTATTAAAATGAAAGCATTCAAATAAAAACTACTTGAGCATTAAGCAATTGAACTATAAACAAGTTTCAGATTAAGAGAAGTATTAAAAATAATAAAGACAAACATTTTAAAATGATACAAATGACAGCAAAATATGTACAGTACAGTTCTGATAATTTGAAGTGGACAGGAACAAGACTATCTTGAGTTACAAAATACTTGAAATATGGACCTGAACTGAGCTGACCATCAAAATCCTGAGCTGTAGCTCAGCTTAGCTTATTTCTATAACACTATTATTTTCTAAACTGTAAAATTGAAATTATATAAAGCCAGATTCTAAGATTACCTGTATTTCAGAGATTTATGTACTGTATATTCAATTCAGCTGTTATGATTATCTATACTGATGTAGATATCTATTATGTAGTATGTTGAAATATTAAAACTTAAATTTTTATTATTTTAGCAGCTCCTGGTTCATGGATGCCAGTTCCTGCTGCACCTGTTAATTGTCCCCCAGGTTTAGAATATCTTACTATGATAGATCAACTTCTTGTTCATCAACAAGTAGAATTACTTGAAGGTAATAAATTTATTTTGTTATAAAACTATGAAAACTGTGTTTAAATGTTATCAAATATTAAATACTCATTATTCATGAATTATTATTTAGCTTTTATTGGATTTGAAAGTGCAAATAAATATGAAGTGAAAAATAGTGTTGGTCAGAAAGTTTATTTTGCTGCTGAAGGTAAGATAGATACCTAAATAGTTTAATGAAATTAAAATTATATCCATGAGTTTATTGTTTCTAATTACATCATTTCAGTAGGAAAACAGAGAATCTAATTTTTAAAATAAAATGAAAATTTACTTTTTGTTAATTATTACAAATTTTTCTATATAAAAAAACTCTGTAAACTACATTAATACTTTGTCCATAATTTTGTTATAAATAAATAAAATTAAATAAATTATTTATATTTAAAAATTTGTTTATATTATGAATTTTATTTGCTTTCTACAAAATATCTCATTAAATTGTAAATTTAATGAGAAAATTATTAGAATAAATTTACATAAAATAAAAAAGTTCTTACAAGTCCACTTAATTCATTTTTGTAATTAATACTATTAAATTATTTAATATTCTTTCTTTTTAGAATATGAAAAACAATAATATTTTTACAGTATTATTTACAAAACTAACTTCAATAACAAGTGAATAATTAGCTAATCATTGCATTTAATCTCTTTTTATAATTTTTTACTTTAAATTTGTTTAATCAAATTTTTTTTTAATTGGTGAATTATTCTCATTTCACCTCTTTAATGCAAACTTTATTAAAATTGCACAATGTTTGACTAAAGTTTCAAAAATTTAATATTTCATAGTTGAGTATTCTGTTGGAAAGTTACCTCAAAGGCTAATACACATTATATCAAAGTCAATAACACATTAACTTTGTCATCAATTGTTAATTATTTTCATTAGTTATATTAATATACAATAAAATTATATTTTACTGATTAGCATGTAGATTTAATTTGTCGATGACAAATTTCTTGGAAATGCTGTAGAAAAATAGAATTTATTGAAAAAGAAATATGTTTATCAGTTTACTTATTATTAATAGTTAGTTTTCTCAATAATCATTTAAAACTTTATGTAGTTAATATCAAGTAGAAGTAATACATTGTTTTTGGCTGTATAATTTGATTACAATATTATTTTAAATGATGAATAATAATTATTTATGGATTATAAACATGTATATACAAACTACAGTAGAACGTCGTTTATCCGAAGGTCGGTTATCCGAAGGAATTCCAGTCGACAAATTTAAATTTTCTCCAGTGCTGTGGCGCTGTAATCTTTGGCTATGTCTTCGGCTACTCAAATGTTTTACGTTTTTGATACTAATTTAACTTCTGAAGTATAATTTTTTATTGATTTTATATTTTTCAATATATTTATTTTGTTTGTACAAAATACAAAAATAATTTTTAACGATTTAATAGTCTTCGTTAGGCTGAACATCGACGAAAATTCAACGCGAAGCGACACGCAACGGGAAAAAATTTCAACACGGGATAAATTAATATATTTTTTCGTACATAATTGGTTATCCGAAAAATAAGTTATCCGAACAACCCCAGTCCCCAATTGATTCGGATAAACGACGCTCTACTGTATTCTGAAAAAATATATTTATATAATAAAATCTTAAGTGTGTTTGAGATTTATGATTATTCAGGAATGTATGGGATTTTTTTTATATTTGGAATAAATATATATAGCTGAAAAGTAATGCACACATGCTTGTAGAACACAAACAAAAACAAATAGCAAGATCGGGCAAAAAGCACATTAAAGTACAATTCTTAAGCTTCAAAATCATATATTTATTTTTCAACATAGCCTTAATGATGACTAACACATTTCTCCCAACGTGTAACAAGTTTTTTCATTCCATCACTGAAAAATTCTTCCGACTTTTCTCGAATCCAGGACTTGACAGCTGTCTTCACCTCATTGTCTGAGGTGTAATGATTACCCTTGAGATCTCTCTTAAGTAGAGGAAACAAATAAAAATCACAAGGCGCAAGATCGGGGGAATAAGGAGGGTGTGGAATCAGTTCAAACTTCAGGTTTTGCAGAGCCTCTCCAGTTGCGCCCAAGGTGTGTGGACAAGCGTTATCATGTTGCAAGATTATTGGTGCCAGGCTTCCTCTAACATGTCAAACTCAACATCAGAGGTGTTTTAGAGTCTGTATGTACTGAGAAGAATTAAACATTGCAACAAGGGGCAACAGTAATTGTCTGTGGCAGTGACCAGACTTCCGCTGCGTCAACAATTATGGCTTTTCCAGGCTCACAACCACGAAATTTTATTATCCATCAATTTACAATAGATCTATCAACAGAATCGGCACCATAAACAGCCTTTAAACATAATTTTTTTCAGCAGTTAAAAATTCAATAACAGCACGCTGTTTAACTCGCATTGACATAGCACCAGAACATGTCTCCATATTTCCGCTTCTCAAAATATACTGAATGAACGCAACAACCTCAAACTGCGCATGCACATAGAGAGGGAATGTTACTTCCATATGCCACCTGGCACGCTTCTGAAAATCATTTCGTTTGTGCTCTATAAGCATGTGTGCATTTCTTTTCAGCCTGCCCTCGTATATTCCAAATATTTTTCAAAAATTAGTTACAAGTTAGTGTTAAGATTTTCCTCTGAAGATAAACAATGTGTTTATCAATGTTTGTCACATACATGTTTTACTTCAAAACTATTATTTAAAATACTTTTGTTATTTTATTTTAAATCTATATTTCTCAAAATAATGTTTTCAAAAAATATCATAAACCAAAAATTACACAGTAAACTCCTGGATAAATTACTTTGCAATATTGTGTATATTTATAATAATATAATTACAGTCAAACTTGGTTAATTTGAAGTTCAAAGGAAGTACAAAATAGTTCAAATCATCCAAAATTTGAATTAAACAATTTCATTTATAATTATTAAGTAATATCGATAAAATATAATTAGTTTGGTTGTCACATTTTCTTTTTGAGTGTAATTCATATTGGCAAAAATGAAAAAAACAGAGTGAATAACACGTTAAAGATTGCAGAAAACTACATTATGTTATTATTTTGCAAATCACTCAGAAAGTCAGAATTGGTGAACATTTTCTGTAGCAAAAAAATTTTGCCACTTATCACAGTGCGATTTGTTGTCAGGTGTTTGTTGTGGGTTTAAGATGGTTACAAAATCATCACACAACAGAGTATATGTCAAAATTAGCATGATATTTTTGCAATTCACACTTTTTAAACATTTTTCTCACTCAACATTGTTTTCTTTTTAACATATTTTTCATTTTTTTGTAATAAATATGCAACAGTAATTAAAAACAGAATGTGGTAACTGTTTTGATTTTACCGATGACATTTCTCTTTTGGTTGTAAATGATTGGATGCTCAAAATTTGCAATCACTGTTTGCTTTTTGCAGTCCATACCAGTTTCATATTTGTTTTTTGCTTTTGCTTTTTGCTTAGCTTGAACTAAGTTATTACAGCTTGAAATTTTTAAACTCTAGTAATTTTTGAAATAGGATATTCCAGCTTCAAATTATCCAAAAATTAGGAAAAAAATTTTGAATTAAACAAGTAATTTTTACATTACATTTATTAGGAAACTCAAGGTAAATTTGTAGAATTTGAATTATCCAAAAATTTGAATTAAGCAAGTTCAAATTAACAGAGTTTGACTGTATATAAAGATAATATTTATAATTTTCTAAATTAAAGTTTTTAAAGATTTTTTATAGAAAGAAATATATAATATTAAAATTTTATTTATTTTTCAATATTATTTCAAATAATAAACACTATTTTATCAGATAATGATTGCCTTACAAGAAATTGCTGTGGTCCAATGCGACCATTTGACATGAAAATACTCAATAATTTTGGAAATGAAGTTCTGCATTTAAATCGTCCACTTCGTTGTGATTCGTGTTGGTTTCCCTGTTGTTTGCAGGTATTTTTTTTTTATGTGTAAAATTTATTCAATTATTGATGAGTCCATTAAACAATTAATTGATTATTGAAGTAGTTATGAGAATTTTTAAGAAATTTATTGTTTTGTAAAAAACTTGTTAAATGGAGGATACTTATATTTTAAGTATCCTCCATTTAAGTATATTTTTAAAATATCTGTAATCTATGCCCGAAAATCAGATGTTCTGTGCAAAAGCCATGAGCCTAATTGCTATTTTTAAATAGGAAAACTATAATGCAACATAACATTAATTAAAAATCCCAAATTAATATTCTAAAACATAAGTAAAACAACTAAATGAATTCAAACATAATGAATATCTAATAGTAAAAATATGGATTAAATCATCAAAATAACACCACTCCAACATAAAAATTGTTTACAGTAATTCAGAAAACAATTTTTATATGTGAAATGATTGAAGTGATTAAATGTATTTAAATTTTATTTCATTGATGATTTTTATATTAATTAATATTGCATTATATAATAGTATTCCTAATTAATTGTTAAATTGGGGTATTATCAAATCATAAACTTCTGTTTATACTGAGTTTGATACATTAATTTTTTTAATGTTTGATTAACATTATATTGCTTCTTTAATATATTTATTTTTGTTAAGTTAATATTTTAATTAATTTCCTTAGTATGTAGATATATTAAATTAGTTTTAACTGCATAATTAATGAAAGGTGTGTATGTATGTGTACTGAATTATATAATTATATCTCTCTTGAAATTGTCAACTGCATTAATTAATATTATATTCACTCACTCACTCTGTAATTTAAGGAATTACTCTATTCCAACTAAATAGTTCAAACATAGAATAAGTTTTAAAAATTATTGAGAATGTTTAACAGGTTTGAACGTTAATGATGCTTTAACTTTAAATCATTGGTTAAAGATAAAAATAAAGAATAAAAATAAAAGTATAACTAAACAAAAGAACAGTGTCCTTATATATAGAACAATAAAATAAATGGTTGGACATGATAAATTGTTGATCATGGTCAACAGACACACAAGCCAGCACCCTCATTAGGATTATTATCTCCATGTTGTCTCTATTGACCAGCTATCATCGGGAACCAAACCGACAGGTCTAACACATTACCTTATTGTATTTTGTTCAATACTAGGTTGCACTGGTGACTATTGCTAGTTCTTCAGTTGTTCTTTAAGTTGGATATACTAAACTGTGTTCCTTCCAATTTCATGTTTGCCTTATTGTTTGAGCTCTTTTGCCAGAGCAGTGCTTAGTCTTCCTTTGTGGAAATTTTCTAGATATTAGATATTTTTGTTATTTTATCAGCAAGTGTACAGCATGTACTATCTATGTAGCATTGTTCTTCTATTCCAATTAGAGAAGATTGCCATTTTTCTATCACCAGCTGAATTGTCCAATAATTTTTATGCATTTTGAGAATCTGAACATATGCAGAAATTGTTTTGGTAGGACTATCTTGAAACAAATTTAATTGGAATTCAAATAGAATAATTCCTTAAATTACATAGTGTTTGAACATGTACTGTATTATAACAGAATAAATTAGTGTTGCAACAAATAGTATATTCGGCCTCAGGCCGAATACCGAATATTCGGCCAAACTATTCGGCTTGATTAACACATGTACGAAAATTGCCATGCAAACCTCATTACGGCAAGGACCCTGCTCTCTATTGGCCCACTGTCACTATGCTTTGCCAATCACATTAATTCTTGACAGTTGTAGCGGACAGACAAGAGCATCGTGGCAGTATGCGATAAATGTTGATATCAAATGTGAATAACAATGAAATGACCTACACATGTAAATAACTGAAAAAGAACAGAGAAGGACTGCGAAGTGAAAATGTGAAAATAAATATAAAATTGAGGCGACAACATAATCGAACAAGTCGAAGCAGCTTATTGGCGCGAAATTTGCGGCCGTCAATGCCAAACACTTGTTGTCATAGACTTCGGAAAGCTAAATGCTTGTAATGAAAGTCACTTAGCGTGCACTGGCAAAAGCCTGGGACCGTTCGGGCTACCAAGCTGTCTCAAATCTGTGAAATCATAACTGTGACATATACCGACGTCCTATCTGTCTCTTTTCTCTGTTATCACCAGGCTATGAGTCACGTAATTATAAAATGGAAAATATCGTGAGCGCATATTATGATGTATGCACAGGCATACGTGGACTAGAGAAATGGAGGAAAGAGAAAGGAAAGAGCAAAGACGAGCGCTTTAAAAGGATAGGCAGGGTCAGACCCTCATATGTGTTAGACGATTCTCGAACGAATGGGTGTGTACGTGTGCTGATCTTTGTAATTGTGAATTGTGAATACATGTGACTAATATTATTATTTTTTTTATTTTGTGCATGTTATAAGTTATAAATAAATATAAACAAACAACACTAACCTGATAACATTAAATCTAAATACCAAAATGATTAATTTACTGTGTTTTTGTTATTTCTTACTTCTGTTTTTAGGTATTTGGTATTCGGCTGAATAGTGATTAAATATTCAGTATTTGGCCGAATAGTGAAAAATAGGCCGAATACCAAATAGTAACTGAATATTTGTTACATCACTAATATAAATATTTTATTATTGTTGTATTCATTTTAAACATTTACATTTTACTAGAAAATGGAAGTCAGTTCACCTCCAGGAACAGTTATTGGATATGTGACACAAGAATGGAGTATTCTTGTACCAAAATTTAGAATTGAAAATGCTGCAGGAGACTCTGTTTTACGAATTGAAGGCCCATTTTGCACTTTCAGCATCTGTGGTGATGTAGAATTCAAGGTATGTTTTAAATATATATATATATTTTGTTTATTGTAAGAGAATTTATGTCTGTATTATCTTTGATATTTGTGAGAAATGGTGTTTTTGGAAAATAATATCAACAAATTTATTGTAAAAAATGTAAAATAATTAATAGCAATTTAACTTTGTTCCTTTCCTCACATACATAGTAATTTTTCCAGTTATTTTGGTAAAAAAAATTTGTTGGTATGTGAGAGATACAATGCAGGTTATTATTTTTGGTTTTATCCATTTACATGTTATTAAATAAGTAGTTAAAAGATCATAATTTTCTGTTATAAATAGAGGTGAGTTCATTTAATGAAAACTAATTGCTCATAAAATTATAAGATTATCAGCACAAAACCTTTCTCACTAATTTCTAGCCTTATTAACTGTTGTACTCCAGTTAATAAGGCTAGAAATTAGTGAGAAAGGTTTTGTGCTGATAATCTTAGAAATAGTTCTAGCTACATATGCATAGTATCATAAAATTATTTGAAATATCTGAAATAATTTTAGAATTACCTATATGTTTCACTCACCTTTTTTTTAGTAGGCTTCAATTTAAATTTAAAAATGTCTCTGAAAGTTACAAAATTCTCTTAATTTATATTACAATGAAATTTGACATCATAAACTTCTGTGTATGATATATGTGAAAAATTCAATATGTTTATATTAAATTGTATCATATTACTTTAAAATTAGTAATAAACAAACAATTATTTATTGTGACATCGTCACAATGAATAATTGGGCTGAAATTTTTAATCATATTTTTAATTTATTTAATTTAAAATATATATTCTCCAGCTCAAATTAGTAGTGCCTTGCCCTGTAAATTGTGTTTTTCCTTCAACAATAGTCATGCAGGTCATTTATTAACTGCTTTCAGGGAAAGTTTTGAATTGAAATAACATGAGTTTACATATGTGGTTTGCTTCGGAAGTTCATAATCAGGGCTTCCTACTCCTAAGGTTTCTATATTTTCCATATCTAATCTCAGATTTCATATATCTAACTCTGTTCTCAAGATTAAGGAAAGACAGACAGATGGATAACAGTGGGAATTTATAGGTCTACAATTTTTTCAAATTGCAGTTCAAGAATATTCTCAAGAAAGATTTAATTCTGTAATTATGTCAGAATCAAATTTTGAAAATTGTTTCAAGAGTTACTTTTAAATTAATATAAAATGAAACATATTAAAATTGGTATCCATTAAATATTATGCAAGTGAAATAAGTTGGATTATTGATATGAGTTCTTCTGGTTTAAATCATTAAGTTAAAAATTTTAATTTATTCCATTATTTGTATTTGCAGGTGTTATCAAATGATGGATCTACAGAAGTAGGCAAAATCTCTAAGCAGTGGACAGGTTTTGTGAAAGAAACCTTCACTGATACTGATAATTTTGGTATTTCATTTCCAATGGATTTAGATGTGAAGATTAAGGCTGTTCTTTTAGGGGCATGTTTTCTAATTGTATGTATTGTTTATTTAATTGTTAAATTATATAATTAATTTTAAATTTTGAATTACAGTCAAATTGAAAATACTGTATTGACCTAATATAAGTTATCCTCCAATTTTGGAATCCTTACTTTAAAAAAAAAAAATTGGGGCCTAAATATAAGCTGACCTTTTATTATTTTTTTTATTTGCATACAAAAAGTCATCAATTTGCATTAAAAAAAATTTGGAGTTATTGAAACAATACTTCATTATTTTTATCATCAACATCCAGTATCTATGTCATTGCCTCATGTTCTTCAGCCTCCTTAAACAGTACAGCATTCCCTGTTCTAAGTCATTGGTAACACAACATTTCTTAAAACTCTTTATCAATAGTCTTCATCAATAGTCTTTCATAATTCTACTGGTATTCTAATTTTTACAAGAATATGTGGAAATTTTATTACTTTTTGTCTGAGATTATGAAAATTAGTTTGTTCAACTACATTTCTTTCTTTTTAAAATTACTTTAGTTAGAAATAAAATGTTTTTTGAATATGTATTTATATATAAAAATATTGAGGAATTAATCAGCATAAATGAATTTTTGATTGCTTTTTAGTAATTTTTACATATCTCATTTAAATCATACCTAGTTAATCAGAAAACTATACTGAAAAATTTGTTTTACAGAAAGAAATATGCATTGGATGCCTTTATGTGACAAATTGTAACTTATTGCTTATTTTTTATCAATAACAATAAAAATGAAATTAATATAGAGCAAAAACAAGACATGCACTGGATGGTATGCTGCCCAGATATACATCACGACAGGAAATAGGCTTTCTTGTATATTTTATGTGCATTCTGGAAAATGTTGCAGTTTTATGACTACTGAAAATGTCTTCAATCTAAACTTCTAATCATTGAAACTTTGTGTTTTGTTTTCACTTATCTTAATTTTTTTATAACTGTCTAAAACATTTTTATAAAGTTAAGAGATATAATTATATCAAATTCATAAATTTATAATTTTAATAGAAATTTACACTTTACAACAGAATAAATTTTGCAGTAACCCAATTTTTGATGATTGCTTGATTAGTAGAGACTCCTAGAAGTAAAATAAAAAAAGTTACTAAAATAAAATTTCTGTAGAAGTTACCAAAATTGACTGATTACATTTAATATGACAAAAACAATTGATTGTTATTGAACAATTGACTAATCAATTATTAACAATCATGCCAAACACTTAATTTCTGTACATAGTTTGTAGGCTGCAGCATGACAGATCAGAACTTGGATAGTGTTTAGCATCACTAAACAATCAACATACTGAATTTTAGCATCATTTTAACTCAGTACATGTTCCAAAACAGTTTCAAAATCAAAGAAAACTTCAGACTGAAAAATAGGTTGCAAATGATTCCCCTCCTTTAAAACTGGAAAAAGCATCAACTAATATTTGGCCAATATGGTATATCATATTCAAATGTAATATTGATTATTCTTTATTCTTCTATTGTGACATATTGCTGAATTTAGATTAAAAATTAGTTCTGTTAAAAATATCTTTATTGCAAAGAAATTGTTTTTTTCATTTGATGTTAATAATGATTATATAGATTTTTCTTTTTTTTCTCTATAAAATATTACAAGTAAGTTTAAGAGTTTCAATACAGAACTTGTAACATCAATGACTTTGTTTAATTATGGTTATAAGTGCATTTTAGAATGATATATAATTTTGTTTCCTTTTCAGTGCTGCTTTTAAGCCAAAAAAAAAAGTATTTTACATATCATACACTATTCCAATTTCTAAACAATAATTACTAACTACAATTTAAAATAGTTTGAGCAATTTTGAATTCCAAATACATCAAAAAGTTATTTACAGACATGCCTGTAAACAACTTTTTGAGTTATGTAACTTCCATATTAGCTATGTAACACGAACACTATGTAAAAATAATATTTATATTTAACTTTATACTAAATATGTTTGTTCTATAAAAACCATAATAAAATATAATTACTTACACTTTAAACAATCATTACTTCACACTGTTACATTCATATATTTTTTTTTATACAATTAAAATAACATTAAACTATCTGACTATATAGTGATAATTATTTTTACATTATGCCCTCTATTATGTCATACCTATCATTATTGATTTGCATACCTTCTGATATATTAATTAAATTATTGCTTTTAGAATATTTTTTTATTTGTATGTGTTCTTTAAATTTACATTTCTATGTATCAGTTTCTTTAATATTTTAACTGCATCTCTATTGATTTCACAATTATTAATCATTGAATGTTCATATCACAGTGATTGATTGTATCTCAATCTGATTGATGTCTCATGCTCTTTAATTCTTTTATTTAGTACCTAACCAGTTTCATAAATGTAATAACTAGGATTTTTGCATATACATTCCAGTTTATATACCACTATAACTATATTTAAATCTGTGATATTTGTGGAATTTTCACTAGGATTTTATATAATTTTAGTAAGTTTATTATTTAAAGATGGAACTAAAGTAATATTGTGTTATTTCAAAAACTTAAGAGTATTTTTCAAAAATACATTTTACATGTAGGATCTTGTACATGTTGTTTTACATTATATTTATGTTTTCTATATTTTTCATGCCATTTTTTCAAATTAATTTTATAGTAATCATTTAGTAAAAATATTTTATCTGTCTAAATTTTAAATTCCAATTTCCTATTTTTTATATTTGTTATTCTCATGTATATTTTCCTTAGTTCCATCATATATACATATTTTCCTTCAATTTAAATGGACAACAGAATTTAAAATTGTTTTATTTACATCACAAGACTTTATATGCCATAAAAGTAAAATTTTCCCAGTTATTGCTAATAGTAATGTCTAAATAATTTAACTTGTTATTTTTTTCAGTTTCCATTCCAAACTGATTATTCTTATGTATATTATTTGCTATATTTAATATCAATTTATCACTAATTTTTAAGTTATTGTACACAATTAAGTAATAATCTTCATTCTCTAACACATAATTTAATACTGTAGATATTATATTATGTTGAAATAGTGAAGGTGGAATTTGATGATTTTTTGAATTTAATACCTACATTATTAAATAATACTGTAGATATTAAATTGTGTGTTAGATATGCAGATGATTACTTAATTGTGTACAATAACCTAAAAATTAGTGACAAAATTTAAGGTTTTGTTCAAATATTTAGAATAGCAGAATCATAAATTTTTTCTTTTAAATTCATTAACCCAGCGTGAGTGAGGCCAGGTATGTCATACCCGAGAAGATTTTAAATGCAGATTATGTAATGTTATTGTTGCCATGCAAATCCTGTTGTCACAGTAGCTGGAGGTAAGGGAGTGGGGGCGAGGCACAGTGTTGAGTTTAGTGTTTCGCTGGTGTCAGCGGGAGATACACATGAGCAAAGGTGGCTGGGGTACATCACACCCAACCTCATAGTCGGTGTTACATTTTTGAGTTGACAGTAAGCTTATGAGTTATAGTTATTTATAGTATTTTTAGATTTATTTCTAGATTTCTCATATGATAGTCTTTGCATTAGACAAAAAAACACATCTTCCAAGGGAAACTCGAAAAGTGATTACTGATCAACTGGGAGAACCTTCATTACTTGTTTCCAAAAAATTGGCTAATAAATATGTCAGGTGTGGTGAGTGTACTAAAAAACAGATAGGAAAACAAAACATTGCTGTTCGAAGTGTGAGAAGCCAAAATGTATGAAGCATGCGATTTTTATGTGTGGAGATTGTGCTGATTTGTAGGTATAATGTTGGTGCTGTGCAAATTGATCTCATAAGACCTTTTAGTTTTTTTTTCTATTTTTATAATTGAAAGATACTATAGTTATGTTGATTAACCAAAGAAGTTGTAATTTTGTTAGAATTTTATACGAAAAAATGTTAAACTACCAAAACTAGTACTTTTTCAAAGAAAATATAGACACGACACTTTGTTATTTCAATTAAAAAAAAATGCTTTTCAATCTTATACATAATATTTTATTTACTCATCTTGTTGAATAGATACTATTCTTATTATCCCAAGTGAAAAAATACTTTATACACTATTATAGTATAAAAAATTCGGTATCAAAGTTTCGGGTATCTCCTACCCACCTCATAGCTGGTGTAACAATTTCTCACCTCATTCATGCCGGGTTAATTATCATTCTTATCTATATCAAGTAAATAATAACATTTACTTGATATTATTATTTATAACAAGTATTTTGATTTATATATTGCCTGTTCAAATCATCTTCCTCTGGCTGCAACAAATTAGCAATGAAATTCAAATTAGTACGATTACATTATATTAAAATAATGTAGTCTTACTAATTTGAATTTGTGGCTGAACTCAAATGAATAAAGCCATATATGAGATTAAAACTTATACTTTTGATTTTACCAAAAGGTTTTTTATTATTATTGTTATTATTGTAATTAAAGACAATATCAGTTTCACTAAGAATTAACCACTAACCATGACCTTTTCTTGTCTTTTGAAAGTAATTCTAGAGCTTGCTTACATTATTTTATGACACTTTAAAAAGATTCACAGTTTCCAGACAGCTTTGAATTCAGGTAGATCATTCTACAGAGCATTATTAGACTGTCCCACCATAATTTGCATATTTAAATATTTTTTATATTTGTATTTCAATTTGTGACAATATATTGATTTTATTTTAGATTAAAGCAGGTTTCACATATCATCTGCAATAGAAAACATTAATTCATTAACTTATCAAAAGATTGGCCTCTTTGTGCTCTCTGAGCGATAAGGGGCCTAAAACCACAAATAAAAAAAACTTATCAAAAGATGTTTAGCTATAATTATATTTTTTCTCAGCAATAATAATAATAATAATAATAATTTATCATTCATCATACACAAGGTGTCTCAGACCACCTGTACACTCCATTTAAAATGAAAGGAAGCAAGTTTCATCAAAAATCCAAAAAAATTTGTTAAGTAAATCAGGTACACACTATCAAATGCTATTTTCAACTTCTACTACTGGCCAGAAATGGTCTATCCGGTACAAAAATCAAATTTTTTGAAATGGAACATAGCATGTTTTATTTCAGATTTAGATTAAAACTCAAACTCAAAAAGCTAAGATAGTTTTAATATAAAGCTAAAATAAGCCAGATATAATCACTTATTTTGGAAATCACTAAAAAGGGGTTTATAGGCAAATAAACCCCTTCCCTTCATTTTGAAAGTAGTGTACAAGTGGTCTGAGACACCCTGTATAAGTGATCAAATATATAAAGCAGGATTTTATTGGACTTGATTATTTAAATGCTTTAATACACTTTTATTTAACTGATGAAAATAACTAATAATTTTTGTTTTATTTTTATTTTAGGATTTCATGTTCTTCGAGAAAAGTGGAAACAAAGAAAACGATTCCCCTGGAATGTTTTAAAATTTGAAAATAAATCTGTACACTCAGATCTGTTTACATATTCTGAAAATTTTAATAATAAATAACAATGATATGGCTTTGTTACTCATAACAAATCTTTTAATATATGCAATTTATAACAATATAGTAGCTACATATGATAAGTTTTAGATGCAAATTTATTTTTAGCATGGATTATTTGTGTTACTTAAGTTGTTAAAATATATAATAAGCAGCTTAAAATTAACAATATTTGCTGGATATAATCAGTCACTTTTATAGCCACTTAAAAAGGGTTTTTTGATGAATAAACTGAAATGTTTATGTCTTTGAATCTGACTCTCACTCAAGTTTAAGAATTACTCAGTATCAGAGTCCAAAATATCAGTGTAAGCTCTGTCACAGATTGTACCTTACTGAAGAGGGATTGTTGAGAATTTCGATCCAAAATGCATTTAAATATCTGCAAATTAATTGCTTTCTGAGTAATTCTTAAACTTGGGTGAGCATCAGATTTGAAGGATATAACATTTTGGTTTATTCGTCCAAAAATCCCTTTTAAGTGGTTATAAAAGTGTTAAAATATAGTTCTTTGAAGTATATTTTTCTCTTTTTATTGAAAATGAAGCAGTAAACTTATAAGGCAGGAATATTATTCAAATTTATAAAGAAAAATATCAGTTTCAAATTTATAAAGAATGTGAGAGATTAAAAAATTTATAATTTAATTTTGGAAAATCTTAATGATGTGATCAATTATGAAAGCAAAACAAAAATCCAACAAAATAGTAACATTTTTCTTTAACTTATTTATTGTAATAATCAAAAAGATTATTAGTAAAATTTAAATTTCTAAAAATAATTTATGATTTTTAAATGCTGCATTATTAAAGGGTAAAAATCTTTTTACAACTTCCCTTTACATGATTAAAAATTATTTGCTATATCAATATAGGTTTTTTTTTTTAAGATTTCAAAAGCATTTGAATTTTACTTTTCTGTCATTATACTGATATTAATTTATGTATGTAGTTTAATCCAAACCAAAATATTTGTACATTTGTGAATTGAGAAAAATTCAATTCATATATTTTTATAAATTTGGGACTTGATATTTTTATTGCTTGTGTAATTTATTTATATATTCCTGAAACTCAATATAGACTGTGATAATTATAAATATTTATTTGTATTTTAAATGCTTTAGTTATTGATAATTTTGAAGAGGCCACTACATAAAAATATTCTAAAATTCACAAATATTCTAATTCTATTTGCTAAATTATTGTTGCATTCATAAAAGTTTCTGAGGACTGTTACATTGTATTAAAATAACTAATAATGATTGTTGCTTTTCAGAAATTTTATGAACCCAGTAATTGTTGAAAGAATTGTTACTAAATATTTTGAAATTATTGTGTTATAAATTAAATACATTCCAAATTTTAATTAAATAATGAACAGAATTTAGTAAAAGTCTAACATATAGTGTGGAATATAAAAGTATTTTTCAACGTAATCAAATGTATGTATGCTTAACAATGCCGCCAATAAATTTTGGAACTTTATGAGTTGTTTTATTTTTAATAATCAACTATAAATTATCTTTTATCAATTTACATTGAAATAATTCTTCAAAGATATTCAAAAATTCTGGTTTAACTTGATCAGTTGTTATTTCTTGCCCCAGTTCTTTGGTAAGTGATGTTACTTCTTTATTTGGGATTCCACAAGGAATAATATGCTTGAACCATTCTAAATCTGTGTTACAATTTAACGCAAGTCCATGAGTTGTCACGTATCTACTTCCATGAACACCTAAATCATAAAAATATATAAGTTAATAAAATACTTATTTTAATGTAAAAAATACAAATAATAAAGTCTTAATATAACAGACTTGTTAAGTATTTTACTACTGTATATTGAGAAATTCCAAATTTACATTAAAAAAAATACATTAGAGAAAAGAATTTAATTTTATTCAAAACACTTGGAGCCCTACTGTAATTATATATTTAAAAAGACATTTATTGTCTAGAAAATAAATTAATGAATTTTTAAAGTTTTAGCAAGTGTTTTGCAAACTTAAATGTTTAACTTTATATTTCATTATGTAAAAATAAACTAATACAATTAATTTGACAAAAAGTTTTATTTTCACATGTTTTAGGTTAAATTCTTAAAAATAACTTTCTTTCCATAATTTTATGAATGTAGGGGAAAATATTTGAATGTAATAATTGTGTTTTTCTTCCCTCAAATGAAGATTTGACTTGAATGTTAAATCCTCAATCTCCACAGAGAAGAAATTTTAATGCATGTCTTATATTGTACAGTACGAAAATTATGTTTATATAGTTTTTAAGATTTTATTTTCATGCTAATTATAAGTTTAGCAAGTTCTTCAGAGAAGAAACTGTTTTGAAGAATGAAACCTGACATTATCCATGTCAAACCACTTGGGAAAATTCCTAAGATCCAAATTAGAGTCAAATTTGGATCCTCTAACAGTGGCATTGTCTCTGTTAGAGGATCTAACTGATGTCTCTGCTAACAACTAAATAGTTGAAGCAGTATTCTTTTATAAGACATTAAAAAGAAATGCAAGTAAAATTTGAGCAAATATCATATTTAAAATACTTAACATTACATCTTTTTTTTTTTTTTTTACTCTTTCCACTCTGTGGGGACTTCATAGATTTAGCCAGCTCACAAAGGAGGCAGCCATGTTGTTAAGGATGGTGCCCAAGGTATCTGGGACAGACCACCCACAAAAAATCTCCAAGGTTTTTTGCCTGCCTGTCAAGGTCCTCCAGAATAGTAGGCTGAAGCCTTAATTGCCTCATCTGCTCATCCACCCATCAAAGTATTGTATAAATGTAGAATTAAACATAAAAGAAATGCTAGATTTGAGTGTTAATCCACACACTAATTAATATTAACTGCAGGGCAGTTCATTGGGACCGAACACTTATTATGTGGAATATTGTGAATGGAACAATTCTATTCAGTAATACCTCAATTTATGCGAACCCGGAGTTATGTGATTTTCAAATCTCATCGATTCGTCTTTTTGAGCGCCACGCAACTCTTGATTACTCACTCCCCACACTATTGTTCAGCTTACATGTTCAGATGTGTCGCGCCAAATCGGCACATAGCTGCAATTTATTTTGTGTTTGTTATATCTACGGAGACTTGAGAGACTCTACGTGGTGATTTCTTGTAACCGTGAACGAATCAAAAGAGAATATAAGATTAACGAGAACATTTATTAGCTTACAATTTGGATTTTACACAAATTGCAAAATTATCCCCGACTTACGTGGTTATCACGTATCTACACGCTCGGTTCCACCTATTGCATAAGTTCGGGGTATTACTGTATTTCACAATAAAGCGGTTGACCAAGGTATGTTTTACATTACAAGTTATTCAAATGAGATTGTGCAATCACGACTTATTGAACAAAAGAAGCATTCAGTCCCAAACAACGCACCCTATGTAACAAAAATAATATTGATTAAATTTAAAATTCTATTCAGAAATGTTTTACAATTTTTCTATAAAAGTTTATTAAAAATTTGATATATTTTTTAAAATTCACTGATTAAAATAAATGGATTTTAGTATTTATAGTTGCATTATTGAATTTGAATCATTTATTTATCAGAATAACAACTTCAAAAAACATTTATCATTCAAAAAATATTATATAAAACTTCATTTAAACAAATTTAAGATAGAATTTAGAGAATATTTTAATATAAATTTTTGATGAATATGCTATTTTAAATATAAGATTTATACTGTAATGATTTCTCTAAGATACAGTGTACAGTATATAACCTATATATAATCTCCCTATGGAAAATAAACTCTTAATTATATTTCTATCAAATTATTTTTCAGATAAAGGAATTCATTTTGTTAAAACATATCAGCTTATGTTTTGTAATAAATCTAAAAATAGACTGTTTATCAGATAACTAAAAATGATATCAGATTTATGATTAAAAAATCAATTTACTAAAATTCTGCTAATAAATATTCTATTTTTGCTTTGACTAAATAATATAATTAAAATAAACCTAAGATTTATGCTTACCATCTTTATACATGCTTGTATTATTATTTGAAAAATAAATAAATTTTGATTACTTATTCTGATTACATATTTATTCACTTTAAAAAAACTTTTATAATCAAAAATGCAATTGGCTTATACGATAGTCCCGAAAACTCGGCACTCAATAACCCAGCAGTCCAGATAACTCGGCCACACCCCTAGTTAATTTTCATTATAGACAGCTTTATGCCTCATAAAGTATTTTTCTGAGGTCTGTCTTAGGTAAATTACTGTACACTGTGTATTCATTAATTTTCATTTTCATTTAATAATGCTCTGTTTTCATAAAGTATACAGTATGTACTTTTCCTTCGTTTAAGGGTATTTGGACAGTTTATTCTCTGTTGTATTCTCAAGCAAACAATACATACAAGTAGAGTACAGTACTTTCTGAGGAAACACTCGTATTTATTCTTTTTTAACCCCATTACCAATAACCCGGCATTTTCCACAAACTCGGCCATCCATCGGTCCACATTAGGCCGAGTTTTCGGGACTCTACTGTATTTTATTATTTTTAAAAAATCCCAAAGGATGCATAACATATTTGTTACTTGCAGTATAAAAGCATTCCATTTGCTATTGTTTTAAATCAGTGTTTTTCAACCTACTTGAATACGCGACCCCTTTTCAAGTAAAAAAATTCTGGCGACCCCCACGGCCATATTAAAACTATGTTAGTGATTTTAAAAACTACTGTACATACAGTTGACCCCCTATAACACAGTAGATACATTCCTGTTTTTTATGAATCCAGCCAATCACAGCCCAGCACATATGCAGTTTACGGACTACGGCTTTTTCAAAGGTTTCTTCCATAAAATTAATCGATTCTAGACTAATTCGACTCAACATTTCCAAAATACGTATAATTTTTTGGGAATAATCCATATAAACTATGCTATAAACAAAAAATTGTAGAATTACTTACTGAGTGTGCATCGTTCGACTACGCCGTTGCTTAAGCTTGTTTTCGTTGTAGAGATTGTCATCGAATGGCGCTCGTGTGCTTCCTGATAAATNAATACATGTGACTAATATTATTTTCTTTTTTATTTTGTGCATGTTATAAGTTATAAATAAATATAAACAAACAACACTAACCTGATAACATTAAATCTAAATACCAAAATGATTAATTTACTGTGTTTTTGTTATTTCTTACTTCTGTTTTTAGGTATTTGGTATTCGGCTGAATAGTGATTAAATATTCAGTATTTGGCCGAATAGTGAAAAATAGGCCGAATACCAAATAGTAACTGAATATTTGTTACATCACTAATATAAATATTTTATTATTGTTGTATTCATTTTAAACATTTACATTTTACTAGAAAATGGAAGTCAGTTCACCTCCAGGAACAGTTATTGGATATGTGACACAAGAATGGAGTATTCTTGTACCAAAATTTAGAATTGAAAATGCTGCAGGAGACTCTGTTTTACGAATTGAAGGCCCATTTTGCACTTTCAGCATCTGTGGTGATGTAGAATTCAAGGTATGTTTTAAATATATATAAGGTTTTATCTTTGTAACTATATTAATTTTAGGGAATAACAACATGCTACTTTGAGCTTACATATTAATCTAAAATATACAGTTATTACAAATGATTCATCAGATTTCAAGCTACTGTACTTCCAACATTAATTCAGATTCAAGAATAAGTGATACATTTGAACTAGAAACTAAAAGTTTGTGTTATAGAACTACAGATGTTCTGTATGTGTTCCTTTGGTAACACAAGATATTTGGTAACATGAAGTGGTATACAGTTCACCCCAAGCATTGAAGTATATTTCCCTAGATGGTCATATTGCAGCAGTAATGCAGTCTTGGAGCTCTGCCAAAGATGTGGGCAATGATAGCACATAAAGCATCCTTTAAATATCCCAATGGAAGAAAATCATACAGTGTGAGGTCCAGAGATCTGGGAGGCATCTGTACAACACTAGGTCATCATTACTGCAACATCCAATTCAGTAGTATGGGAGTTCTGCATTCAGGTATTGACCTCAGTACTCTAGTCAGGTGGGGTTCTGTCCTGCTGGAAAACAAAGTCACCAGAAATGTTGTCTTCTGCATAGCCACAACTTTTACAATGGATGTTGTTCTGCCACCTGGTGTGTTGCAAGAAAATCTTTGAGTGCTTCTCTTTCGTTTTGTGGATGACCTGGCTCGATACTTTGGAAGTTACAAGACCAGTGATTAATTTGTTATAACCCTGTATTAAAATCTAGTAGGAAGCATATAATAAGTGATGCATCAAGAGTTTTATTTTTATTAACTTACTATTAAATATATTTTCATACATTAAGATTTTTCTTCATTTTTAACTCTTTCCACCCCAAACACTAAAAAGGCCTTTTTTATTGTACCCATTATGGTTTGGCCAGGCCCACAATGGGGTGGATAGATGAGGGAATAATTGAAAATTTTGACATTAAACTTGAATGGGATTAATAGATTATTTTTAATAAATAAATCTTTTCAAATTTAATTAGCTTAGCAGCAAGTTTTAATACTAATTTAAAAAAAAATGTTTTTGTACATGTTATGAAAGGTCACCACATCAGATCTGATTGCATTTGAATTGCTAAATATCTCTAGATAGCATTGAGTATGACTACTTTAATTACAATCACCCAGTATATTGTACAGTTTAAGAAAGAATAAATAGGTTTA